AGGCCCGGGAAAGAGCTCAAACCCTTTTGCAGTGTGTGTGTGTGTGTGTGTGTGTGTGTGTGTGTGTGTGAAAGAGCTCAAACCCTTTTGCAGTGTGTGTGTGTGTGTGTGTGTCTCAGTGCCGGGGCTTGAACTCAAGGTCTAAGCCCAGTCCCTGAGCTTCTGTGGGCAAGGTAGCACTCTACCACTTGGGCAACAGCTCCACTTCCAGCCTTTTGGTGGTTAACTGGAGATAAGAGGCTCACAGTGTTTCTTGCCTGGGCTGGCTTTGAACCACAACCCTCAGATCTCAGCTTCTTAAGAAGCTAGAATTACAGGCATGAGCCACTGCACCTGCCCTCTTGTACAACTTGACCTGACTTGTAACTAGACTGTTCAAAGTTCTATGTCTAACATGGGTAGTGCTGAAGATCGCCACAGACACATGAAGAAAACAGCCTACGAGCTGGCCTAAGTCAAGCATTCAATAAAAGGCAATGCTCCTATCTATACTTACCATTTCTCAAGAAATATACAGCGAAAAGCCAGGGTGTGCGGGGGAAGATGGGGGAGACCTAGGTCACATGACCTGACCTCAACTGTGAATCCATTTAACGGCCTTCAGCCTCACAGTGGATGTGAAGTGGTTAGGGCTGTGGACACAGCAGTTTGGTTGTAAACAGAGGCACAGGAGACGTGTTCTGTTAACTACTCAAGCACTACTACAACTATTTTTATTCAGACATAGTTTCATAGTTTTGACTTTAAGGACGTTCAAATACACAAAATAGGATGCTTGGAACCTCAGAGATGTGTCTGAATCAGAGGCACAGGTCACAACAAGAGCCTACCCAGGGTAAAGTGGAAATCCAAGCCAGGAACAGGAGGGGTGAATGCAAGGGAAGAAAGAGAGGGAGGAAGGGAGGGATGGAGGGACGGAGGTGGGGTGAGGGAGGAGCACATGTGTCGATGGAAGCCAGCACCGCTGCGTGATGGCTGTCCTGTCTGACAATCTCACTGGGCTCCACATCCTCCCCCAGCTCTGGACCCAGCCCAGGGCATGCAGGGTGGCAAGGGGAATGGATGCCACCAGTTCTGAGCACAAAGGCAGAGGTTGGGAAGGGCTTTTGGATTTGCCATCTGCTTGGTACTTGTCACTTTCCAACATTGGAAGGAGAAGGAGGAGGTGGTGTGTCTTATCCAAAAACAAAATAACGATTGTGCCGGTAGAGGAAGGGAATATGTTAAGAGGAGGGAAGTGATGCCAATAAATCAGTGACTCCAAAGTATTCATTGTTAGTATCTTATGGCCAGCCCTAACACTGGGACCCAACACAAGAAAACCAGCCTGGGCCAGACGCGGACCACCGAAGCACGGAGAAGGGCAAAGACCCCCCCAGGCCGCTGGAGCTGCAGGGAACAGTGTCTCGGCACTAACTACTAACACTGTCTTTGGGACCCACATTCTTCCACAACACATCTAATGGACCCACGATCTGAGGGTTAAGGCACTGAGATGAGCTGCCGAGGATCAGAATTATCCCCAGCTTTTTCCCAGGGTTTAGAAGATGAAAGATGAGCTAGTATTTACAAATGGTTGGGGTGGATCAGTTCCAAACTGTTTTAAGTTCCTTAAAGATGAAAGATGGCTTTAAGTTAATCCTGTGTATGTAAAAAGCAATGAGAATGGTTCTTTTAAAACACTGCAGCGTAACCTTCAATAGTAGGATATTAAACCCAACTAAAAACAACGAGACATCTATTTGCAGGCAGCTATGGTAGTGGTGCCAGGCTGACTTAGTGACTCTTCTACCTGCCCTGGGCTAGATCCATCTGGAATCCAGACAAACTGCCCTGGACACAGGCTTTCTACAAGGCATTTTCTGTTCTTCTACTCATCACTTCCAAGAAGGCAAAGTCTTGGTAGGCTTTCAAGGAAACAAAATCTACTTTAAGATAAATAAAGAAAAAAGAAACAAACAACTGGTCTATGAGGTAGGATGGAAGAGTGTATTCCAGCAGCCAGAACGGAGCCCGGGGCTCAGCACGTACCACACGTAGCCCTGGCCCAGATTTAAAACTCTACAGCCAGATGACTCAGAGCATCTCAGCTTTAAGTGCCAGGCTTGTACCAGAAATGCCAGTGTCCTCTAGAGAAAACAACAACAATAACAAAAACCTTTATGTAAATAATTAATACTTTTAAAACAGGTTTTGGTCTGTGGGTGACATGGAAAACTCTAGGTAAACTTAAAAGACTGGACTCCCTATGCTACTGCTTCTGTTTCTCTGGAGAATTCTAATGCAATAATGGAGAGAACAAATCTGGTTTACCTCAAAAGAAAGACGGAATGTTCTCCAGTGTGGGAGATATGCTCCTTATCAATAAGATGAAGTCTAGTAGACATAGATCTGGTGACATCTAATTGTCACAGGACATAATGAACAGTAACAAAAGGACAGACAACCAAATGCAAAACACTGAAATCTGAAAAAGCACTTAGTTATGTCAAAGACAAAATCTTCACTTAGTATCTGACTCAGCCCCTCCTCAACAATTTCAAATTAAATAAAAGTTGGCCCTTGGAGCCAGGAACTATAATCCTAAACACTCAGAAGGCTGAGATCTAAGGATTGTGGTTCAAAGCCAGCCTGGGCAGGAAAAGTCCACGGGACTCTTATCTTCAATAAACTACTCAGAAAAAGCTAAAGTGGTGCTGTGGCTCATGTGGTAGAGTGCTAGCTTTGAGCAAAAGCAGCTCAGGGACAGAGCCCAGGCCCTGAGTTCAAGCCCGAAGACCAGTACACACACACACACACACACACACACACACACACACACACACACTCACACAATGGCCCTTGGGGTTGACACAAGGTTTGCTAAGCTTGGTACTGTGGATGTGTGCGGCCAGTGGGCTCTGTGGGAGGGCCTTCCTTGTCCATCATCAGGTATGAGGTAGCAGCCTGGCTTTACCTACTAGTTATCAGAAACCATTCCCCATTCAACAAGGAGATCACCAAAAGTATCTCCAAACACTCTGTCCCTGCGAGTGAGTCTCTCTCTCTCATCCAGGATGGTGAATCAGAGGACTCCTCAGACCCCTGCAGAAGGGAAGTTGTAGCATGGAGAATGTAAGCAGTCCACTAAGGCATGGTATCTCTGTTAAGGAATAACTGAAATAACTCCTTCCTTCCCTTCCTACACCCCAGAGCCAGTGCCACCATCGAATCCATGACTCACAATGCAGCTCCACTAGGTGCGTGCGGCTGCACAGAAGACAAGCAGACAAGACGAGGTCCAGAAGCCATGACAGCCGCACCATCTCCAGGAAAGACCAAGGCTTAGTGAATTGGAATCTTCCACTTCTTGGGGTTTTTTTTTTCTTTTTCTTTTTTTCTACTACAACTAACAGTGAGAGACAGACAGACCTACAGAGCTTCACACCACCCATGTATGCAGAAAAGAGCAGCAAGAAAGTACCAAGCATGTTCAGATGGAAGATCCTGTGAGCAGACTTGAAGGTAACGAGGGGAGGAGAAGGGGAGGAAGGAGTATGCATATCCATGCTAATGCGTTCATTCCAAATCAGTAAGCAACGGGATGAAAGCCATCAGGGCCGCAGCCCAGGAATGGAAATTCACAAGTGCAATTTGACCTTGACATGAGCCAAAACTACAGATTGGCAGTGGTTTGAAACCATTATCCTCCGAACCATGAGTCTGAATGGTTTAAAACCGTTATTTTAAAATTATCCCAATCAGAATAATTCAACCAGGCACCATATAACCACAGTCTAATTAAACGAAGCGAAGCCAAACATGGGAGAAGGCTTCTTTCCAACAAGGGGTAAAGCAAATGGTTACATGACAATGAACAAAGAATGAGTCGCTTTGCAGGAGGGAATGGTGACTTAGCAAATAGACAGGGACACAGCCAGCAGGGAGAGCAGAGAGAGCTCTGGCAGGGACAGAGTTGGGGGTGGGGGTGGGTGGAAGAAGTTCCAGAAATCACTTTGACCACCCACATCCACTGCAATGACCATGAGCCAGTGCTATGCCTTGGGATCACAGCAGGAACCCAAACAATGAAGTGTTTAGATGTTAATACTGAACTCGCAAGGTGATGATGGTTGAAAAATGGAGACCAATCTAAATTTTCCCAGGATGTAAGAACCTCAGAATCCAAACTAGTCATAACTGCAGGGGGGAAAACATAAACATATTTTTTATGTATGTGCATGTGTGCATGCTGTTTCTGTGTTTTCTGTTTTTTGAGACAAGGTCTTACTATGTAGACCTTGATCTCAGATCCTCCTACCTCCTGCAGCGATTACAGGTGTGTATCCCCATACTCAGATGGTTACAATTTTTATAATGTTTATGTTTCCTTCTAGTCTTTTTCAGACACAAAGCGGAGAGGAATCAGATCTGAATACTAGCACTTATTCAGGAAGTGTATTTTACAAATGAATATTACCAATTGTTAAAGCTAGCTCTATTAACATTTTAGATATGGAAAAAATTAAATCCTGAATTTGCCGGTTCTTGAAATAAAGGAAGGGGTTAAACTATATGAACATCTTCTTTCTCTCCAGAGATTACTTATTTCTAAGCTGCCAGGACCTCAGCAGCTAGACACAAAGCCACAGTCTTCATTGTCAAGCTAAGGGTTGAGCAGATAAGATAGTAGGGTAGTGGTTTGCATTTTCTACTAATGGTGGCTGTTTCTTCCCCATTTCTCTTAGTATTTACTCAAAATCAGCCCTTTCCACATGGTCACACCCCTTTCACAGAAATGAGAATTATCTACAGTGACTGTCCCTGTAAATCAGAGGCAGGAAGTCTGATAGCAGAGTGACCTTTGTGCCCTTATCTCCTTTGCTCCCCCTCACTTCCTGTGCTCCAACTGATACAGGCAGGCTCCTCGTGAAGACAGGCTCACAAGCCCCAGGGTCCCAGCAAGTGGGAGGCAGGCATGGCTGAGTCAAAGAAACCCCAAGTGGGAAGCAGACACTGACCTCATATATAAAGTACACTTTGGCTCCCACGTATATTCCCATGCGCACCACAGCGCGGACAGCAGCATTCATACCTGCAAATGGAAAAGAACAAAGGTTACTGAGAAGCATAGCTGGGTCGGCCATTAATTAACCAAGACCTGGGTCAGCTGCGGAACCTCCTATGTCCTAGCGTGAAGAATGACGAGGACACATGCCTTTAGTATTAATTCGAGCATTAAGAATTATATGCCAGGCACTGGTGGCTCACGCCTGTCATCCTAACTACTCAGGAGGCTGAGATCTGAGGATTGAGTTTTGAAGCCAGTCCTGGCAGGAAAGTCTGTGTGAAATTATTATCTTCAATAAACAACTAAGAAAGGCAGAAGTGGAACTGGGGCTCAAGTGGTAGAACACTAGCCTAGTTCAGTGACAATGCCCAGGCAATGAGTTCAAGCTCCAAGACCAGCACCAAAAAAATAAAAAGAAAAATATTTTTAAAAAAAACCTATAGCACATAGAAAGCAGGGCCCCTAGTCATCCCAGGGTTCACAGCTGGGGTAAGGGGGGGTGCGGTGGAGGGGAGATACCCTATGAAAGAACCACAACAGCCTCAGTTCATATTACTGCTTCTGACTTCTGACTGATAACTCCAATCAGCCAGAACAAAACAGTAAGCCAGTTGGTAGTAAATCACACCTATAATCTCAGAAGTCTGAGACTGAAGGATAGGAAGGCAGGCAGGGAAACAAATCCCAAAAAGATGGAAGGAAGAATGGATGGATAGATAGTTAGATAGCTAGATAAAGACAGACAGAAAGGTGTGTATGTGGGGGGGGGAGAGAAAATGGGTAGCCAAATTAAAAGAAATTGATACCAAAAAGGGCAGTTGGTCTGTGATTGAAGACATATAAAACTAATCATTTTATCACCAGCTACCAGCAGTAAAATAAATAAATAAATTAGGTAATTACTTAAAATACATAACAAATCATGCCATTTTATTGGAAGACAGACAAAACCGCTCATAAATAATCTCGTCTATTTTTTTTTTACCATCCAGTGTGTTTACTTGTAGATTTACAGGCATATTCTAGTTACCACAAATGAGGGAAACCATGCAACTTATGTTTCTTTGGGTCTGGTTTATTTCACTTAATATAATTTTTACGAGTCTTTCCATTTCTTTATGAATGGTCCAGTGTCATTTTTCTGATGGGGGAGAATAGCATTGTGTACATAAACCACATTTTCTTGATCCATTCATCCACTCCAAGGCACCTAAGTGATTCCATATGTTGTCTATGGTGAACAATTCTGCAGTGAACATGGTTGTGCTGGTAACTTTAGTGTGCGGTTGTCTGTGTTCTATTGGATAAATGGCAAGGAGTGGAACTGCTAGATCATGGAAGTCTTTAGACCTTCACACAGTGACACCAAAGGAGGATATTCAAAGGAGCAGATCACAAGGCTCAATACCTATGTGTGTATGATTGTATAAAATAATACTTATCAAAATAAACTCCAAGAAATGGAAAAAAGAGTTTTGTTGGTGGTGGTGCAGTTTTTGTTGACTTTTTCTTCTGTCTTATTTGTTAGTTTATTTGTCTTTGGGAGGATAAGAGGAGACACAGAAAAGATAGGGCAAAGGGTATATAAATACAGCAGTGAAACTCACTAGACACTGTATGAAAAATGAACTATATACAACTTGTGAGTAGGAATGGGAGGGAAAAACTGGGAGAGAATGAGGGAAGGGGGTGACATGATTCAAAAAGAAATGTATTCATTACCTTATTTTGTAACCGTAACCCATCTGTACATTACCTTTACAATAACAATTAAATTTATTACCAAAAATATCATGCCTAATCAAGATAAATCCAGGATATTTTCTACACTAAAGAAAGTAAGAGCAAGGGCTGGGAATGTGGCTTAGTGGTAGAGTGCCTGCCTAGCTTGCATGAAGCCCTGGGTTCCATTCCTCAATACCACATAGACAGAAAAGGCCAGAAGTAGGGGTGTGGCTCAAGTGATAGAGTGTTAGTCTTGAGCAAAAGAAGCTCAGGGACAGTGCCCAGGCCCTGAGTTCAAGAACAAAGACTGGCAAAGAAAGGAAGAAAGAAAGGAAGAAAGAAAGAAAGGAAGAAAGAAAGAAAGAAATTAAGAAAGAAAGAAAGGAAGGAAGGAAGGAAGGAAGGAAGGAAGGAAGGAAGGAAGAAAAAAGCAGCAGTATGTAATGTCTTACCATATAATCATTAGACTCAATTTTGCTTTCCAGATGCAAACTTATTTGAACACCACCCTCTCTCTGTTGGCGGCACAGAATCTGAAGGAGAATCCTGAATCCTGGAAGTAACAGACTGAGGACGGGGTCCAAAGAGGTGTGGAATTGGGGCCTCCAGAATGCACCTGACCTTTCCATATCTGCCTCCTCTATAGATTTAAACTCCAGAAGGAAACAAGAGCCAGAACTAGAGCTGCTGCAGGATGTGGCATTAAAGTCACCGTTTTTGCTAAGTAAGCGCACAAACAGAAGGACTCTGGTTCTCTAAGAATATCCAAATTTGGGTAAATTTGAATGAAAGGGCTGAGAAGATTGTTTAAAAATTCCTGGATAACTTGTGTCCATGTGCTCCAGGCTGGAACAAGACAGTTGCTACAGAAAACCTATGCTGTTCAGTAACAGTATTTATTTGGCTGAGAAACTACAGATAAACCCACGTTCATAAAAACAGTTAAGGCCTGTTATATATGCACACAGACATGCAGCAATTTTATTACTTCATATCCAAACCTAGTTTACTGCAATAAGTCTCAACAGCCATCTCTTAAGAAGATCAGACTAAGTATTTTTAAAATGCAATGAATCCTACAGATCATTTTCTCTTCCCTCCATACTCTCTCACTGGGCAGTACCGTTTTCTTTTGTCACTCAAGCTGGATACAACTAAACCCCTCAGCAGCTCCTGTTCATTAAAATGAATACTTTTCCTAACAGCAGGTGCTAGCTTGCCGTAAGTAAGGGAAGGAAAAATGAAACCTAAAATGTAATTCAACTTCCCAACTCATAGACAATCTCAACCCTGTAGATTGGGCCACAAGCAATCTCAGTAAGGACTAAAAACCCAAAGGCTAGCTGTGTGGTGTTCACCACTTTCTTCCTGTCTACCGAAAGCATATTTGGAAACGGTCAGTCCATGAATCAACCAAAAGCAGAAGAAAAGCCTGGCAGGTTTGCCTCCATTTCACGTGTGTTACTGTTCTAAACTGTTCTCTCTCAGTCACTTTACGATCATCTTGGGTTCCAGGAAGGACAGGACAGGATAATATCATTTATGATGAGAGCTAAAACTACGCCTAAGGAACAACAGGGCCTTGAGGGACACACTACCCCCTAAATGATGATAATTACCTATAATGACCAGAATGGAGGAAGAGAAGTCATCACCAGGAAGCTAGATTGCTCCCCTCAGGTGGTAGATAACAGACATTCATAACTTCTCTGGAACTGGGAAAAACAGAACAGAGATAATGGCCAGCCAAGCCCTCACTGGAACTCTTAAACTCTTTTGCCTCCTGCCCCTAATATCTCTTCTATTAAACCTAATGTCGAGTCTATTTCCAGAAGATGGCTTACTGACCACTAAATGAATCTGAAGTGCCATCTTCCCATGGCATGTCTAGGTCAAGAACTCTTTGCCTTTGCCTTCTTTCCCAACAAACCTTTCTATTATTTTCACTATGTTTGTGCCATGCCTAAATCCTTCTTCTCACACAAGAGAATCGTGGTTGATTAGCTGTGCTAAATTTCCAGTAATAACATTTCTTCTTGGATCTCAACAAATCCCTCTGACAGCTGCACCAGGTGCTAGACAGAATAATTCAAGCCATTTTTTTTTCTCTTGCCTGAGTTTTCACAACTGACATAGCTATCTTCTTTATTCCTGAAGACAAATTGAGGATAAGATAAAAGCGACAAAATACTCTGTCTACTTGAAGAACTTCTTGTATGTCATTTCCTACTTGTCCCTGAGCTCTGTATTGCAACCTTTCCATGAGTCAGAGTCAAAACGGGACATACTTAATCCCTAGCTTCCAAACCAATGCATCGAGTTTGTTACCAGAGCATTTAGGGCAGCTCAAAACCTCATTTCCTTGAGTCTGACAAGAGAAGAACTCAGGCAAGAGGTGAACATAAAGGTGCTAGGAGAGTATATGAGAAAAAAAAAAAAAAAGCACTGCAGAGAAAACATAAGGAGGCATATCCATGCCAGGAAAAGACAGCACTTCAGCCTGTCTCTGCCATCTTGATCAGACTTCCTCATTCAAGAGGTTGGCCTTGGGTAACACAGTGACAGTTAGATGGCTTTCTGATTGGTGGATCTCCTTTCTGTTCCCTGGAAAACTGTGACACCAAAGATTTATTATCCTGTCCTAATTTCCTCATTCTTTTGTCCTGGCTTTCCTCACTCTTTTATAGACAACTTCGTTTCCTCCATGTGTGTGGTTGTCGGGCAGGTTCTGGTCTTTCATTCTCCAGCCACCTGCAGCCTGTCCTAGCCTGAATTCCCTGATTGGCTGCGTTCGTATCATCTATATGTTTGGGACATATTCTCTATCAATAAGGATGTTTCCTTCTGCAAGCATGCATACCTGCTCCTTACCTGGATTCCTAGGGTTTGTGGAAAAAAACGTCGGTGGGGAGTTTTGTGCCACTGAGGAGGGAGCATCTACCTCAGCATCTACCCTGCCCGCACTCCTCCCCCCTCCCCTAGGCTCCTGTACCCCACTTCCATCTTTCTCCCTAACCAGACTCTCTTTTATCCTTCACAGACAGAACTCTCTCAGATGGGGAGGGGGCCTCTACTCTTTAATGCTGTGTGTGTGTGTGTGAGAGAGAGAGAGAGAGAAAGAGAGAGAGAGAGAGAGAGAGAGAAGGGGAGAGAAAGAGAGGGAGGGAGAGAGAGAGAGAGAGAGAGAGAGAGAGAGAAAGAGAGAACAAACTAAGACTTGAACTCAGGGCTTGGCTGCTGTCCTTTTAGCTTTTTCACTTGGCTTTTTTGCTCAACTTGAGCCATAGTTCCACTTTTGA